GTCCGGATGCATCCCAGAAACATGCAGACAGAATGTCCAGGGGGATTATTCCAGAGACGAAAGCTACGTGGAGGAGGAATACGCAGTCCACGAGGAAGAACCAATTCTGATAGCAGGTATTTATACACCTACTAATAACATTGCTAGGGATCCGCATTGGCAGCTTTGTTTCCTTCGGTGGCAGCAGAATATATACCTCACCCCCTTCATCAATACCGCCGCACGTTGCTATTATATTCGACGCTTTCAAAAAGAAAGACGTCATGGACATGGTTAAGGAAAACGTTGCTTACATCATGAACATGGGAGTCTTCACCTCCGCGAATCCAAGCACAGCAGACTCATAGCTAAATCAATTAAAGAATACGAACAACAAAGACCACAACCTGGTCAAAAAATAGTCGTCATGGTCATGAAGAAACCAAGTGCTGGCCTACTATCTCTAGCTCAACTCGGTCCTGTCTACGTAAGTCCTAATGCTGAAATTGGAGAAGTCGAGTGCAAAAAATTCTTCCCGCCTGGATACTCCGAAGGACCTTTCACATTGGAAGAAGATGTAGAGAAGGAAGTTGTGGAAGAGACCAAGACAAAGAAAAGAAGAAACAGAAGAAGACTGAAGAGAAAGTCGAGGAGAAAGTTGAAGAAGCTGCTGGAGAAGAACCGAAGGAAGGTGAGACGAAGCCAGCTGAAGTGGTGAAGGTGGTGAGCAGCCTGCCGAAGGGGTGCCGAAGGGACTGCCGTACAGGGGGAGGAGAAACCAGCCACTGAAAATGAAGCTATTACTGCTGCACCCGAGGAAGCCCTGCCTAAAAAAAATAATACTTACATTGTAAGAATTATTAATTGAAATTATTATTAATAATCATATTTTAGTCAAAATATTTCATCATTTTAATCACAATCAAAAAATGTTGCAATAAGTCTTCGAATGCTTTCATTTAGCAATAATATGCTTTCAGATATTATTCATATAATGGTATGAGGTTACAATGTTTAGTCGCTTTTCACATTATAAGTTATTGTATGTATGCATATAGATTACGATTAATGCTAAATATTTATTTTTATATTTAACTAAAATAATATTGTTTAAATAAATATTATATATGGGTTGTTGACAATATAATATAATATAATTTTTTCATAATACTTGTTTTGTTTTAAGTTTTGTCATAAAGTCATCTTGTCCCTGAAAGACTTCTTCTAAAATGAACTTATTTTAAATAGTTTTTTTTCTATTTATAGTGCATCTGGTTAATATTTAGATATTTATAGGTAGAAACACATTAAATTTTCACTTTTCATCGATAGAGACTAATAAAGTGTTATATCTGGAGCATAGCTCTGTACGGATCAGAGACATGGACTCTAAGAAAGGCCGACAAAAACTAT